TTAATCTTCCATCTCCCTGTCACCTTTTCCCTCCCACTTCCTTCCTCCAATTCTCTTTCTTCCCCCCTCCTTCCCTCCTTCCTCCTTCCGCCCTACCCTTTCCTATTCACTTTTCCTTCCTATTTATTCACTCTTCTCCTATCTCTCATCCCTTCCTTCATCTTGCCTCTCCTTCACCTTTTCTCCCTTTCTCCTTTACGTCCTCTTCTCTTCCCCCCTTCTCCCTCCGCCCCCCCCATCCACCCCCTCCACTCTCTCAGCACCCCCCCCTCCCTTCCCCCACATGCTTTCCCCCCCTTTATCCCACCCCACTCACCCCCACCCCCACCCCCTCCACCCCCTTCCTTCCACCCCCTCCACTCTCTCATCCCCCACCCCCTCTCCCCTCCTTTCTCCCCCACATGCTTTCCCCCCCTTCATCCCCACCCCCTCCCATCCCCTCCCCTCCCCCACATGCTTTCCCCCCCACTCCCACTCCCACCCCCCACCCCCCCACCCCCACCCCCGAGGAGTTGAAGAGGGTCCCAGGAATCGGCCTATGACAACCTGGCATCAAAAGGTATTAGATTAATCCCGTGAAATCCATCCATTGCAATGAGGATTATCTTCCCACTCCAGACCGTCTCCCGGAGTTGGTGCAATGTGCAATACACACAAGCACAGGAAGGTTGCAGCCGACTCGGGACTCTGTTGACATTGCAACTTGTCTGCAAGATGGGACTAAGGGTGGGGGGAGGGAGAGGGAGAGGGGGGTAAGGAGATAGGGGGGGGAGAGAGGGGGGGTAAGGGGGTAGGGGGTCAGGGACATGTGAGGGGGTGGGGGGGGAAGGGGATAGAGGGGAGGGGGATGGAGGAGGACCAAGGTATGAGGGGAGGGGAAGGGGGAGGAGGTCAGGGACGTGTGGGGAGGGAGTGGGGGTGTGGGGAGGGAGTGGGGGTGTGGGGAGTGGGAAAGTGTGTGTGTGGGGGGGGGGGAGTAGAAGTGGGAGTAGGGAGCGAAGGAAAGTCAAATTTAAAGGGAGGTGTATTTATCTTTACGCTGTTGTGTACGTCCGTGTGTGTGTACTTGGTAGATGAAGGGGGGGGGGGGAGGGAAAGGGGGATGAAGGGGATAGAGAGGGGAGGGGGGGTAGGGAGAGGGAAAGGGAGGAGAGGAGGAAGGGAAGCAAAGAGGAGAGGACGATAATGATGATGATGATGATAATAATAATAATGGTGATAATAATAAGAATAGTAATAATAGTAATAATAATAATAATAATGATAATAATAATAATAATAATAATGATAATAATAATAACAATAATAATGATAATAATAAAAATGATAATAATAATAATAATAATAACACTAATAATGATAATAGTAATAATAATAATGATAATAATAATAATAACACTAATAATAATAATAATAATAATAATGATAATAATAATAATAATTATTATACAATAATAATATAACAATAATATGAATAGCAGTAGTACTAGTGATTTTAATAGTAACAATGATAAAAATAATGTTAATAATATTGATAAAAATAATAACAATTACAACAACAAAAACAACAAGAACGCGAACAGTAACAATAATAATAATAATGATGATAATAATAATAATAATAATAATAATAATAATAATAATAAGGATAATGATGATTATAATAATGATAATAACACACACACACACACACACACACACACACACACACACACATATATATACAGACACACACACACAAACAGGTAGAGAGACTGAATAATCAGCGGTTCAACAGAGAAAAAATGTAATGAAAGTAGTCAATGCATATGTTTAATTTCTATTAATATAATATATAACTCTCTACATACTTCTCCTCTCCTTTTCCTCTTCCTCTCTTCTCCCTATTGCTCATTCTCCTTCCGTCTTTCGCTTCCTCTTCCTCTTCCTCCTTCTCATTCCATTTTTTCTCTACTCCTCCACTCCTCTTTCTTCCCCATTCTCTCTCCTACCCCCTTTTCCTCTCTCGTCCTCCTCCTCTCCCTCCCCTTTTCACTCCCCCTTCCCCATTCCTTCTTTTCCCCCTTTTTCCTCCCTTTCCCTCTTCCTCATTCCTCCATTTCCCCTTTTCTCTTCCTTTTCGGTCTACGCCATTCTCCTCCCTTTCCCTCTTTTCTCCTCCCTTTCCCTCTTCCTCATTCCTCCATTTCCCCCATTTCTCCTACCTTTCCCTCTCCCCCATTCTTCTTTTCTCCTCCCTTTCCCTCTTCCTCATTCCTCCATTTCCCCCACTTCTCCTACCTTTCCCTCTCCCCCATTCCTCCTTTTACCTTATTCTCCTCTCTTTCCCTCTTCCCCATTCCTCCTTTTCCTACCTTTCTCCTTACTTTCCCTCTTCCTCATTCCTCCATTTCCCCCATTTCTTCTACCTTTCCCTCTCCCCCATTCTCCTCCCTTTTCCACGTCCTCATTCCTCCATTTACCCCCTTTTTCCTCCCTTTCCCTCTTTCCCACTCATCCA